ACTTCACGGGAAAGAGTTATAGCGTATGCTAGTCGTGCCCTTACGGCTCCTGAACAGAACTATTCCATAACTGAGCAGGAGTGCCTCGCTGTCGTTTGGGTCATACAAAAGTTTCGACCGTATCTTTACGGACGCCACTTCACAGTGATTACAGACCACCACGCCTTGTGCTGGCTATCGACATTGAAAAACTTGTCTGGTCGCTTCTGTCGTTGGGTGCTCCGCCTGCAAGAGTACGATTTCGACGTCCTCTACAAGTCTGGCAAAAGACACCAAGATACAGAAGCTCTTTCTCGCTGCCCCCTTCCACTGTCATCATCAAACCCGTCAGCTGATCGCTCGTCTGGTGGGCAAGGCACTGCGTCACCCCTCACATTATCCCACCTTTCGGTTATCGAAACGCCGGCTTCAAATCACTACACCGAGTTCGCCACATGCCAGCGTGATGATCCATATTGCAATCGCATTATCCAACGCCTAAATGGCATATCACCTACTCCTAATGCTAGATTGCGCCGACAACTACGGCAATTTAAGCTCGATAACAATGTGCTCCATCGTTACGTTTACACTACTGATGAACACCGCTGGGTTCCAGTACTTCCGCGTTCTCTACGTCATCAAGTCCTCGAAGCCTTTCACGACGACCCATGTACAGGCCACTTGGGATTTCACAAAACACAAAGCCGCATCAGAAACCGTTTCTTCTGGCCGGGTATCTCTACCTTTGTGGCCAAGTACGTTGAATCTTGCCATCTGTGTCAACGGCGTAAGCGACCGACTTGCTCTCCTGCTGGCCTTCTGCAACCTATCCCGTGTCCCGAGACTCCTTTTGCCATCGTTGGCATAGACCTACTCAGACCTCTCCCCATCACGCCAGCAGGTAATCGTTGGATTGTGACTGGTGTCGACCAGCTGACAGGGTACGCAGAGGCTGCTGCACTACGCACAAGTTCTGCTTCAGACGTCACAGACTTCTTTCTCAACGCCATTGTATTGCGTCACGGTGCACCTCACGTTCTCCTGAGTGATCGTGGCAAGACGTTCCTGTCCATCATAATCGAAACCCTGCTCACAACCTGTGGTACAGTACATAAGACGACGTCAGCTTACCACCCCAAACTAATGGGCTGACAGAGAGATTTCATCGGACGCTAACAGACATGCTGTCAATGTACATCGCACCAAACAACGACAACTGGGATACCATTTTGCCTTTTGTGACGTTCGCCGGTAACACCCTGTTCAAAGAATTACAGGCTACTCACCTTTCTACCTCGTGTACGGCCGTTCACCGACATTCACCATCGACGTCTCTTTCCTAACTGTGCCAACCGACGCCTCGGCGACCGTATCAGAGCAGTTCATCACAAGGCTCGAAGAATGTCGGCAACGAGCTCACCTTAATACAGAAGCCAATCAGCAAGATCGCAAGCAACGCTACGACAGCTCTCATCGCGACGTCTCCTTCAGTCCAGGGGATGAAGTGTTTATTTATTTATTTATTTATTTATTTGCAATACCCTCAGGGCCAAACGGCATTACAGAGGGGGGTGGTTGAGAAAGAAAAGACAAAAATATTTACAAAATGCAGCGGCGAATCTTACATCGAGCAGAAGATCTTAATTATACAGGTTAGCTAACAGGCTTTATGTCAAACAAAAACGCGGGAATGATGAGAATGACATCAAGACAGGAAAAACGACAAGAAAATAAATACTGTACAGGAACAACACAGCATCGGGTAATACAATACTTTGTTGGCTGTAATTACACATAACTAGCTAATACACTTTTGAAATGAAGGTGACTTACAATGATTGCCGCTGATGCGGGAAGCCGGTTTCAGTCCTGAGAGGTGCGAGGTATGAAAGACTGAGAAAAGGCGCGAGTCCTGCAGGAAGGCAGCCCGACCTTATGAGAATGATCCAGCCGGGGTGAGATATAACTAGGAGGCAACATAAGACCGTCCCGCAGCGATGTGTGATGAAACAGCTTGTGAAACAAGTGGAGACGAAACATTTTACGACGGGATGAAAGTGAAGGTAAGTTGAGGCTAGATTTCATGGCTGTTATGCTAGCTGTCCTGTTGTATGTAGAAAGTATAAAACGAATTGAGTTATTCTGTACCATTTCAAGAGAGTGTATTAAGTTGGCATGACTAGGATCCCATACTGCAGCGGAATATTCGAGTTTAGGTCGTATTAGTGTAGTGTGAAGAAGAAGTTTCAAGAAAGAAGGGGACGTTGAAAAGTTGCGGCGGAGGTAACCTAACATTCCTTTATCATTTTTAATGACGTAATTACAGTGAACAGTCCAGGTCAGATCAGTTGTTATATGCACCCCAAGGTATTTATAGTTTGTCACGGATTGAAGAGGGGTGTTATCAAGGTAATAGTTTGGAAGTTGATGGTTCGCTCTCGATACACGTAAAATTGGCATTTCTTATTGTTTAATTCCATGAGCCATGTTTTACATCAAAGAGAAATGGAGTTAAGATCATGTTGAAGAGAGGTAATATCGCCATCACAAGTTATCTCTCGGAAGATTACGCAGTCATTCGCAAATAAATGAATATTGGAGGTAATACAGGACGGTAAATCATTATTGTATATAAGGAAGAGCAGTGGGCCTAGTACGGAGCCTTGTGGTACGCCGGAATGAACGGCACTTGGTTCAGAGCTTACATTATTAACTGAAACAAATTGAGAACGATTTTTTAGAAAACATTCGAGCCCTGTTAGAAGCCTGGGAATCTATATTAGGTTCATTTAATTTGTGCAACAGCAAGTTGTGACAGACTTTATCAAAAGCTTTGGAGAAATCTATGAATATGCAGTCGGCAGAGCTAGTTTGGTCGAGAATAACGTTTAATTTGTGTGTAAAGGCTACAAGCTGGGTTTCGCACGAGAATGTTTTCCTAAAGCCATGTTGGTGACGCGTAAAAAACGAGTTAGACTCAAGGAAGGTTGCAAGGTTAGAGTACAAAATGTGCTCCAATATTTTGCATGGAATGCTAGTAAGTGAGATGGGTCTATAGTTTAATGGAGAATGCTTGTCACCGGACTTGTGAAATGGCACAATTTTGCCAATCTTCCATTCGATTGGTAATACGCCTTCGTGAAGAGACTGTTGAAAAATTTTAGTAAGAATAATGGATGAGTAGGCACAGGTACCTTTAAGGATTTTGGTGGTAATCAGGTCGCAGCCCGGGGCGGATGAAAGTTTGAGGGACTTAATTATGTTTTCTACACCAACAGAATCTATCATAATTGGGAACATGATTGGGTAGTTATAGCATGTCTTAGGTGGCAGAGGAACATTATTAGTGCGACAGAAATTGCCAGTGAAAGAGATGTTGAGAGATGAAGCGCACTGCTCAGGGGCTACGGCGTCTCCAGAGCCATTGATAAGGGTTATCGTTTGTAAACTACTTGGGTTTATGACGCGCCAAAACTTTTTAGGATCGTTGGATAGCATGGATGGAAGAGTGGTATTCATAAATGTGTTTTTAGCAGATCGGATGACTCTGATGCACTCAGCAGACGCTAATTTGTAGGCATTCAATCGGGCAGCGTTGTTATAACGCTTTGCTAATCTGTATAGACGCTTCTTTTTGTTGGATAGCCGTTTAATGTGGTTATTAAACCAGGGGGCGTGTAAGTTTGTAGTGATAGAGCGTACGGGGATGTATTTGTTGGTCAGTTCATCTACCTTACGTATAAACAGATTCCAATAAGTTTGGACAGTGCGTTCATCGAAACCCTCCAGAAAAGTGTCAAGAAAATTGCACAGGTCATTGTTAATGCCTTCAAAATTTGCTTTATTATAATCGCGAGTTATTTTGGTGCTCTTAAGCAGCTTTGGACGCGGGAGCTTAATGTTGAACGACAATAAAGAATGATCACTTAGGCCCGGTGCGTAGGTAATCTTCGAAACAACGTCAGGACTAGTTGTTAGTACGAGGTCAAGGGTATTGGCGGTTGAAAATGTTGTTCTTGTCGGTTCATGAACTACATGAGAGAAAGAAAATACAGAGCAAAGGTCGACGAATTCTTTGGCTAATGTTGATAGTGGAAGTACGGTAGATGGCTCAGTAGCCCAATTAATATTAGGAATATTCCTGAATCATGTGTTGCTTTGGATGCCCATTTGTACTCCAGGATTGTGTGACAAGTTTCAGTCACGCTTCATTGGGCCCTATACAATCAATGAACAAACGTCCCCAGTGAACTATCGTGTCACTCCCACCGACCTTTCTTCGGATCGTCGCTGTCGTGGTTCGGATATTGTCCACGTATCACGTCTGAAGCCATTTGTTCGACGTTCCCTTTCCGTCTAAGACGCGTCCAGGCTGGCCGCTCACGCGTGGGGGGGAAATGAGTGTTAGCATTATTCATACGCGTCATCTTACCATATGTACATACTCATCATCATCAGTCTGACCTTTGTTGGGGGGCAGAGGCTCGGCAAGTAAAAGAGGTGTCTTGCAGCCAAAACCTTGCCTTACAATATGTGCGATTGAACGTTCCAAAACCACCATGTGATTGTAAGAGACGCCGTAGACGAGAGCTGCGGAAGTTTTGACCACCTGGGGTTCTTTATTGTGCATCCAAATCTGAGCACACGGGCCTACAACATTTCCGCCTCCATCAGAAATGCAGTCGCCATTGCCGGGATTCGATCCCACAACCTGCAGGTCAGCAGCCGAGTACCTTAATCACTAGACCACCGTGGCGGGGCTATTGACAATCTTGTACTTGATGAATAAACAAAGGCATGTACACAGAGATGCAAAGAAACGAAGTCTAATTAGCGCATGAGCGTGCAACCCTCTTATCACATAATAAAGTTGCTATTTGTGTAAGTGGATGACGTTTTTGCAAAAGACAGCAAATAAAAAAGAAAACACATTATGGAGAGCAAGGGGCTTCTGCGTAATGGCTACTTTTTCTACACTGCTGCCGCAGACAGCCCTGAAGTAAGAAAAGAACGCACAAAAACACCCTGAAAGATCGCTTTTATTTTTGAAGCACGTGAAGGAGAATTTGAGATGTTTTAACAGTCATTGTGCTGGAGATTTGTAGTTTTTTTAGTAATAACAACACAATAAATATTGAAATATGAGGCATTAAAGAGTGCGCGAACTCTTCCGAGTGAAGCCATAACGTCCTTTCGGCGGAGTTAAAGAGGCTGTTTTGAGTTATATTTGATCCTTCACCACCTGCAACCACTTGCCAATCTGTTCAAGGGCCCAACCCAAGGGTTCCCTCCAATAGGATTCCACTTCATTACCTAAAAGGAAATAAAGCATGCATTATTCGCAAATAGTGCACGTTCTATTTTCTAGCCTCTGTGCTCATCTTCTAGTAACCTTCATTTGAAAAACTATGTTTCTGCCTCATATTTTCTTCAGAGTAACGATGACCCACATATTTGCATAATATGTGCTCTGCAATAGGTCTCTCTTACGCCTTACTTTCAAATATTTCATATTATGGCAAAAAATATGGTGAGAATCCTGAATCGGCAATATATTTAGAAACGAATGTGAAATAACGCATTCGCTGTCACTAAAAAACAAAAAAAAAATGTTTTGCTAAAGCAGGTTTGTTAAGGCACCATATTTTAGCATGTCTTTTCAGACATTGTAAAATAATGACGTGCCGTCTGGAAGCGAAGCACGATCACAACATTCTCCACTAATGTGAATAGAATCTTCTAAGGGTAGAAAATTGAATATATTCTCTAATCATGTGTTTACCCAAGTTCCTTTCTATTTTTTCACGTACATCTGTTTCATCAATAGGTCTGGTCCGACGATGGGGCAGTGAATCTCAGATTGTTGCAATATTTCAATCTAATAAGTTTTCTAATTTTTCCCAAATATAGTATATTGGCCTATTCTACTTCAATAATGCCTTAAGTTGGGGCATTATGAAACAGATATAATTCATTGAAGAACACCATGGTCTTTGTCTTATAGAAAAAGTTTAGCTGACTTACTGTATTTTTGACATAAAACCAACCGAAAAGCACTTTACAATTCTGATTTTGTAGGCTACCGTAAATTATCTAAATAATGTATTCTGGTTACACTAATCTTACTCACTTTCAGCCTTGCCATATCGTGAACAAATTCTGGGAAGATTTGGGCCTGTTATCATAAGCATCATGCTTGAACAGAAATGCTGCTATTCTTTGTAATATTTATATTCAGCGGAGTATGCCTTGCAAAGTCATTCAAAATTTGTCACCGGATGCTGTATACAAATAAACTTCTGCATTCTCTTACTACTTTCAATCGATCTTTAACAGGGGCTTTAGGTACAATGTAGTGGCACGTTTTTGTGTCCTTGGGGCAGCTTTTTGCCTGTCTTCGACTTCATCGTAGGGCATTCAATACCTCTTTCGGCCGACGTTTTGCTTAATATGCACATGTTTCACCATCTTCCTTGTTTCACAATCACACTTGTTGGCAAGTGCTAGCTTACGTACAGTATCCTTTCTCAGTTCGGGAAAGTTTAGAATATTAGAAGACGTTAAAGAAGATAGTTTTGGCACGATCGATATCTTGTAGATCTCTTGATTCTATAAATGTGTCTATAATAGGAACCTTTGTTATTATTCTGTAGAATAGCCTCCAGACATTTCCGAAAACTAAAATTACAGAAGTGTGATCATGACACTTTGAATATCATATAACTACTAACCTTTTAAGCCCTCTCGTCGGCAGTCTTTGCTACCAGATCATTTACCTAATGTTCCTTTAATGAAAAACACTAAAGCAACAATTGCAATCTTTAGTATTTTGATGTTACTATGTCTGCTCTTGGTTATAAATTTTTTTGTACCCCATCCCCCTCTGTAAAGCTATGTGCGATTGAGGGTAAAATAAATACCAATTAGACACGTCTTTCTGAAAACCGGTGCATCAGTTCTGTTGATTCGTGGAGGCCTTTCCGATGTGCTCGAGAGAGCAAGTTACTAAAATATGTTTTCAAGCCTTTCAAACTTCCCTAGTCTAGTGAGTGGATAACAGAATCAAAGGAAATTTCACGAGCAAGTAGAATCAGTCAGAATGTTCTGATATCAAATGCGAAGCATTTCTTAGCGACCTTCAGCGACTTTGAGCGTATCTGTTTCTATCTATCTAGCCGCCTACGAATTTTAACTCTCCTGGCCGTTCCGACAATGGCATCAATATGAAACTTAGTATAGAATAACACGACTGAATGGCTAGCATAATTGACTAGTAATAACATGATAATCATGATGTATATGTCATGAATGTGACGATTTATACTTCATGGTCTGGCTGCTCTTGCGGTGGTTTCGTTCACATGACGTGTCGCAAAACTGGTACGATATGACATGATTACATAGTGAACACAAGCGGCAGGTCATAACATGAAAATGATGACATGCGTGTCACTTAACAACATGACTACATACCACGATCATGATGCGGTCGCGGCTGTTTCGCTAGCGTCACATATACCAAATTTGCTATTACGGTACATGAATTGGTGACGAAGGTATGCAACTTGTGCAAACATGATATTTCTGAGATGCGTGTCATGTAACAACATGACTACACACCATGCTCATGATGCGCTGGCGGCCGTTTCGGTAGCTTCACCTACACCAAATTTCGTATTACGTGACGTCAATGGATGACGAAGGTATTGATTGATTTGTGGGGTTTAACGTCCCAAAACCACCATATGGTTATGAGAGACGCGGGATGACGAAGGTATGTGACTAGTGCAAACATGAGAATCATTAGATGCGTGTCATGTGAGAACATGACTACATGCCACAGTAAAAGCTCCAACACATCTCGACGTCGCGTGGTGCACGTGCTCACCGGCGTTCATTTCGTCGCGTCACGCCGGCGTTGCCACGCAAGGCGCCCGTCCTGCCGTTACTCGCAGGCTCACGCCACGCTGCGTTGCTTTGACGCATGTGCGTTTCAGCGCGTCTGGCGTCTCTCCTTCACGAAAACAGGGAGACACAGTGTTGTCTGGGTAACGCATTGGCACGAAATGCAGCATGTCGCATTTCGCGCTGGTTGCTGTCGGGCCTGGCCGACGGACGCTGGTAGCACCTGGCGTCAGACTATAGAGTGCTCGGATTTTGCTAACGTAGCGTCGCTGTGATCAGCGTGCGCGCATGTCAACGCTACATTGGAGTATATTGGGTCCTTCACGAGGCGCTGACGGCCGTTTTGCAAGCTCCACATATACGAAATTTGGTGTTACGCGACGTCAATGGATGACTAAATATACGACTGGTGAACATGATAATCCTGACACAGGTGTCATGAAAGAACATGATAACGTTCCACGCTCATAGCGTGCTCGTAGCCATTTTGCTAGCTCAACACATACTAAATTTGGTATCACGAGACGTGAATACATGACGAAGGTAAACGACACATCCAAACATGATAATCATGACACGGATGTCATGTACGACATCTCCTATGTCCACCTCATCACTTTGTGCAGATTTTAAAGTGACATATCAACATTTATTATTCGTGTTTCGCATATCATCGATGCCTATTGTACGTGGGACCTGCCATTTTTTTTATAAATAATGCGAGTTTAACATAATAATAAACAAGAGGTGGTCTCTAAACTGCATTATGTACTGTTGACAAATAGGTATATCTTGCTCATAAATTATGCGAAATCCAAAACCACGTTCGTACTAAAAGAAAAAAAAGAAAAATGCTTGAGGGTGGTACTCGCTCGGTTACATTTGGAACCATTTGTTCATATTTCTTTTCTATTTTTTGTAGATGTGGGCAAGAAACTAGAAAGCCACATGACACCGATACACAATGACTACCCAAAATATTATTTCTCTTGATGAATTTACCAGCTCCAGAAATTTACAGCAGCGGAACAATATTTTGAGTTTATTGTTCTTACAGTAGCGACAATGTAAATTGATCGTTCATTGCGACACTTGGAAAATAAAAACTAGACATTCTCCACTTAAACAATATAAGAATGCCTTCCAAATATTATAAGTCTTGAATTACTTAAGAATAGATAAATATGAATATTTATATCATTGCCCTAATCAACAATTTTTATAAACATAACAACCCAGCTGATATTGCAGAATATGACACAATAAAATCAATCAACAACAGCACGACACTAACATTATCAACACTAATTTTGAGAACCTCAGATTTCATGGTCCGTAGCGACAAGAAAAAAAACTTACTCTACTGAATCTCATGTCATTCCAAATGACTTTAACCAGCAAAGAGACTGTTATATGACCAAACGCCAGGTGATGATTTCATCAATTTCGTTCTTAAATAAGCTTATAAAGATAGAGATGAACGCTGCAGTAAGTATGACGCTCACGCAAAAAAAAGAACAAAATGGTTCTTTTTAAGTCTCAGTAATTTTGTTAAAGCTTCTTTTTTCAATAATTACACTCGAAAAAATTCGTACACCCCACGTACAGAAGGGATCGATGATATTCGAAGCACAAATGAGGAAAGTTTATATTTCAACTAAACATCATCATAAACTTACGAGGTGAACGTAAATTATGCCCTAAAGACTTCAATGTCGTGATAATGATGTTTGGACGTTTTATTTACTTTCGCCATCTATTCACGTCACGGGATACCAAATTCAGCATTTCTGGAACTAGCAAAATGGCGGCGAGCGTGCTAGGAGTGTAGGATGTAGTCACCTTTTACATGACATGCATGTTATGATTTTCATGTTTGGATGTGTCATTTACCTTCGATAACCATTCACACCACTTGATACCAAATGTGGTATGTGTGGAGCTACTGAAATGGCTGTGAGCGCCCTATGAGCGTAGCGTGTAGTTATGTTTTGCATGGCACGCATATCATGAATATCTTTTTCAGACGTTGCATTTACATTCGTCGTACATTCGCTTTACGTAATACCAATTCGGGTATATATATGTGAAGCTAGGAAAACGACCGCGAGCGCATCTTGAGCGTAGCATGTTGTCATGTTTTCACATGACACGTATGCCATAATAATGATGTTCGCACCAGTCACATGCGTTCATGACTCATACACGTCACGATATACCAAATTTGATGGATGTGAAACAAGCGAAACGACCACGAGCGCATAATGAGCATAACATGAAGTCATGTTCTTGCATGACACGCATGCCATGATTTCCATGTGATGGCCTGTCACTCATGTTCGCCATGCAGTCACGTAATACCGTAGCATTTTTGCAACATGTAATGTGATCAAAACCACCCAAGGAGGAGCAAAATTATGATAGGTAAATCATGTCTTTCATGACATACATATCATGATTTTTATTTTATGACTGGCCACTCCTGCTCGTCATACAGTAATGATTTGCCATACCGATTTTGGTATAGATCTTACCAAATGGTCAGGAGAGCTAAACGTCGTAGGGGGCTAGATAGATGGATAAACAGATGCATTTAAACTCGCCGAAGTTCGCTAAGAAATGCTTCGCATTTAATAATGAAACAAAATCGAAATTATTTACACACTTTTTTTACTCAGCTCGAGTCAAGAACAAATTTGGGAGATGCCACGTACCCCGGAATCAACGTTATGAGGAGCATGCGGAGGCGAGCTGCCCGTGTTGCGCGGGCTTGTACTGTTGCCTCCCCCAGTTACAGCTGGCGTGCTCCATTTTGCATCTGGGGAACATGCACTACCAGCATCAAATGAAACGCGAACAGGGGAGAGCGTGGCAAAAGACTTATCAATGGCATAGTGCGCGCCGTCCACCGGTTATTGACACAGGCAGCCCCACACATTCGGTGTGGCAGCACTGCACGATCCCTCTGTAGTGCAATATTTCTGCTTGTGTTCCAGGTATGGCATTTCACAGGAAGACAGCTAAACAGCAACAGAGGTTAAACGACTGCAGCCTAAGGCGAGTATTGTAGCACGGTTTGTCATTACAGAGTCAATCATCACGTAATGCCTGGCAAACTCTATTTATAGTAGACAAAGGTCAGCTCATAATGCTGGCAATTTCACGGTGTTTCACTTAGTGACGGTAAAGCGATACAATTTGCGCGCTCTCTTCTGAAGAACCACTGGGAATTTCCAGTTAAAATGAAGCCTTTTCAGTCCGTTCTCTGAAAGAAGGCTGTAGGTGAAGCAGCGCAGGTGAACGAGATACGACAACCGTTCAAAAATCAACCGCAAACCGAATATATTTCTCTTTATGGGCAGTACCAGCGCAGAAACTCACGGGACGAAGAGAAGAGACACAAACAACCACTGATCTTCAACTGAACAGTAAGGATCAGTGGTTGTTTGTGCGCTGGTACTGTCCATAATGTATCCGCAACTAGCCCAACTATCAGTCCTGCTTCATTATATTTCTCTTTTTGTTTTATCGTGCCAAGCCACCGATTCCACTGCGACGCTGCAGTAAAAGCAAAGAATGGCGAGCGACATGATCAAAAGACCTCGGCATGCGCATCATTTCCACCATTGTCACCATATGAAAACTAGAGTAGAAACAAAGATAACGCACTCTAGGTGGATCGCGCAGTGCTGCCAAACCGGATGCGCACGCCTGTCAAAGGTGATGACTGGACGCCCAACACTATACTGTTTCCAATGCTTGAACACGCTCTCCGCTGTTCGAGTTTAGTTTGACGCCGATAGTAGTAGTTGGCCGCAAAATGTAGTAGGCCACAAAACAGTATCGCTAAATATGAGAATTTCGAGAGGCACTACATTTTTCATTTGTGTGGCAAAGCGCGACACAAAAAATTTCAGCGCATCAACAAAACTTATCAAAGATTTTTTTTTATTAGAAACGTTCATACCGACAGCGTACACTCATTACGCGTGGCTGTACGTCTGCGTAATACATTAACACTGTATCAACCACTACGATGCTGTGGTGAATAATTTCTGGCCGGGCAGTTGAAGGTGTGCTTCGATAAATTTTAGCACTACTTCAGCCTTCATCAATTCTTTTGCAGTGGCCCCTCTCCAGGATTTCAACTTTTCATTCCTGCGTTATTTTAGCGACACAACACGTGCTATATGGGCCTAACTGGGAATGCTAGGCAAGTTCATTGTTCTTATGATTTTTATGGTCTTAGATCTAAACAACCTTTGAGAAAATACTAGCTCCTCTGTTTAGGGCTTGTTGTTGCGACAGGTGACTGATATATTTTCGTTATATGACATAGTACCACTCATGCAAAGGCTGTTACTAGGAATAGCGTCCGTTTTAAGGAAATAAAAGAATGGAAACTCACCGTTGTTCTCATTTTCAAGATGTTGGCTGAAAAAAAAAGATACAGAATAAAAAACGAAAGGCAGCTTGGGCGTTAATACCGTAGCGTCGTGTTAAAGACACCCAAAGGAAGTTTGGGGTATTTTAACACAAATATATAAAGGCGACTACTCACTCAGCGTCCCCACCTGAAACACAGACAACAAGTTGTGTAACTATGAAACTGAAAATTTTATTGCCCCTAACAGGCTTATTTGTTTTCGCACTTACTTGCCATTGTCCATAAAAGCAAAACAGCCACAAGGCAGAAAAACAGCTTCATTCTACTAACTTCTCCTGGAAAGACAACTGAAGAAACACCTGATGCTAAAAAGTTACATACAAGTGAATTTGTGTTTAAAACTCTTAAACAATTCACAAATAATAAAAATAACAAAAATTTTACACGTAGTACACTCTTCGCATTGTACTCGCCTATTTCATTATCTTTATATATCAAGTGGCCTCTGATAAAGCCTTTTGTTGCTAGGCAAATTAAGCAGTGGAAGGAAACTTATGCTTGTGACGATCCATGTAGCAATGCAAGAAAGTAGCCTAATTTATTGTACCACAGGTTTTGCGAAACACCTTTTTCTTTTATACGAGTTCTGCTCCAAACTCTTTTGTTGTGTGAAGTTCACATAAATTTTGAATTTCTCAACAAAGTCACTAATGAACATTGTTTACTCATTTTAGAAAATACTCAATACTTGTATGAAGCATTTTCTTATTATATTTATATTTCATTAAAACACCAGAACCCTAAAAACAATTCATTTATGATTTTGACGTCAATTGTTTTTCTGCATAACGGTAAAAGACTTTTGAGTGCGAAAGCTTCTTCTGAAACTAAATTGCGCCAGAAGAAACGTCTTAACCCTTTCTAAGATGCGGTATTTTCTGGAAACGGACGGAGTTGTAGGAGCAAATTTGCTTAGGCTCGCCAGATGTCCGTTGTTGGGACCGTCAGGGGTCCCATTTGAAGCGAAACATAGATGTTACATACAAAGCACATGGAATCGTTCAAAGCATGCATGTTGTAAAATTATAGACCACACCCTTTCCGTCAATTCATTATACCGTCCAACCATCCGTCCATATACCCGTCTGTTTGTGCATCCGCTTATGTATCTGTTCGTTTATTCCTTGCACTATAGTCTGTGACTGCAACCTTAACATTATGTACGTTAGAACCTAGCATCGCTCCATCATCACCACTTACTTCGTGGATCGGCTGCCAATTTTTCAACACCCTAAAAGAGCAGCCTTGAAACCAGTGGGCACCAGCAATAACGTATAAGGCAAACGTTTACTTTTTTTCTCACACCCATTCGTCGTAAAAATAAATTTCTCATCCGTAGAAGGTGTTCCAAACGATGTTAAGCATATTTCTGTTTCCACTGTCATAAGCAAGTTGGATGGTTGGAAGATCCATGAAGACGCTTAGTGCAAGTCAATGGGGGACGCAGGAAGCTCGGCATCATAACAGGTATTATCAATGCCGGTGACCAAACTGCCCTAGACTGGCACGAAAAAACGAGGCTACACTCGTCGGACAAAGACACAGAACTCAATATATCGATATATCTAACTTGTTGAAGACCATCTGTTTTGAAAGCTAGCGCCATGCTTTCGGTCGTGCGTTTGGAATAAAAAAAGAAAAAACACATCGTTGGTTCATTGTTTCTGCTTGGCAACGTCTCGTTATTGAAGCCCAACTTTGTAAGAGACCAGTGACGTAAAAGTGTTTATGTGTGCTAGTGCGACAGGAAAATTACCTACCTTTTCTAGCGGAATAATATTTTACCATTTTTAGCTGTACATAAGAAACTACAAAATGAGATGATTACATAACAATAAAATTTGATTATTTTGAGCCCTCTCTCGTTTTGTTAATAAAAACTAAAAGAAATATTGATGCCCTAAACATTGCTCAAATGACTTACACAAAGCTGGAATCGGTGGGTGCGAGAGAACTCAGCTCTTCCCGCCAACCGTCAGCCAGTAACTTTTCTCTTGTCTTGGCGTCTCTAGATATATCTCTGCTTGGCACTTCATTCACCGATACGGTTCAAGAACTTAGGCCCGTAATTGCAGAAATCGAAGAAGCACTTGAAGAGAGGCATCATCTCTTGCATTATCTAATCTGCTAGAGTTCCCATGGCATATTTACGCTGATACTAGGCGGAGGGAGCTTGTCCCCGCAAACGCGGGTGGCCTTCATCGAATAGCCAAGCATCTCGCAATACGCCGCAATGGTTTTCTGGTTACAGTGCTTGACTGTGACACGAAAGTCGTGGGGATGAATCGCCACTCATGGCGGCTACTTTTTCACTGTTGGCGGAAATGTTTGAGGCCACTGCACCTGATTGATTGATATGTGGGGTTTAACGTCCCAAAACCACTATATGATTATGAGAGACGCCGTAGTGGAGGGCTCCGGAAATTTAGACCACCTGGGGTTCTTTAACGTGCACCCAAATATGAGCACACGGGCCTACAACATTTCCGCCTCCATCGGAAATGCAGCCGCCGCAGCCGGGATTTGAACCCGCGCCCTGCGGGTCAGCAGCCGAGTACCCTAGCCACTAGACCACCGCGGCGGGGCGAGGCCACTGCACCTAGATTCGGGAGCACGTTAATGCAACTCATAAGGTCAATGATGTTCCAACTATGAAATATGGCGTCCCACGTAATGACACTTTGGTTGTGGGACGCACAGCTTCAGTAATTATTATTGCAGATACTTCACTATTGCACCATTTCACATACAGGCTACGTCTGCTTGTGAGGAGCGCGCCTTGCTGAGCGATGGCAAACCACCTTCCTTAGCTATGCCATCGAAGACCATGATTGCGCTGTCCACCGGGTAAGGGCCGTTGCCCGGCACCTTCGGCTATGATACTCGTGTGGTGGTTCCCTGATAGCCTAACCACGGGAACCCCCATTCAGCAAAGAGTTTAGTTACATCAACACAGCTAGTGAGCTGTCATTTCTTAGATTAGTTCATTGGCCACAAAGCACCCTTGAAAGTTGGCGCAATCCTGATGAGGCAAAGTGCCCCAGGCAGACAAAGATTGAAAAAAAAAAAAGAGTCCACAGGGTCGGCGCAAACCATATGCCAAAGCCTGTTCAAATGTGACAAGGACGCTCTGAAGTACGCTGTTTTCTTCAAATTGCTGTGTTGTCATGTCTCATTTTAAATACACTCAACTCACAGCTGTTAAGGTATACGCTTGCATACACAGTGCTGCCTGAAAAGTTGCTTGATGTAAAAGTCGAAGGCCAAGGGCACGACAGGTGCATCGGCACCGTGGCCAAGTGGGTCGTCATTGTAGAGTCACGTACGCTGTCTTGTGATTCCGGAGAGAGATAAAGTAACATCCGTTCGCACATGTGTGATAAAGGGCATTGCGTATCAGCGCGTAGTTATCTCTTGCGTCACCACAGTGCTCAAGTGTGGGAACATACGCAATCAAAGTGTACGCAAAGACTCATCATTACGGAGCATTGAATTACACCTGTTGCGTCTCCCACGCCGTTAAAGCGTTCAGAATAGCATTCAACGAATTCTTTAGAGGGAAAAAAGCTGTATGATCAGCCTAGTTACACGTAAGTCTGTAGTTAGAACGGGAATAAAAGAAGTATCCATATTTATATTATAGGCTAACGGAGATAATCTGCTGTTGAATTTTACCTATATAAACTTATTTTCGGTGTTTTCTTTCTATCCTTCCTATCGCCTTAAAAAAGAGCGCTATTAATAATATATATCTTTTCTTAACCTACAGGTAAAGTCGGCATTTCTATACGGGTAAAATACCGTAAGGACTTGAAAAACATTACCATTAAAGAGATAAACGAAATTAACTGACTTGAATAAGGCAGAAAGAGCAAACTGAAAGAGTTCGACAAAACTTGCTGAACATAAACTTTTGATATGCTACCCTAAATTTGCATGCGCTGTTTCATAAACTGCACTGCTGAAAAAGGTAAAAAGTAAACTGTGGAAAGGAGGGTTCTAGCCACGGGGCATGTTTAGTAGACTGAGAAAAAGAGACGAGATTGAGGTGAGTAAAACGTGCTAAGTCGTGGCCTGCTGGTATTCGTGTTCGATTAGAGACGTATTCTCTTGCTTTTACTGCCTTTGGAGAAACTGACCAAATAGCAACAAAATATTTTTTTCATTTATTCTGAAATACCATGTTTTTGCGACTAATAAGCATATAGATAGTTCCAGATTCAGAATCGCGTGCTTTATGTGTTTTTTGTTACGCCAGTGTTCTACATTAAACATTAGCCTGAATGTTTATTAGGTATTCAGAGTTTACTTTTTGAGGACTGACACGTGACAACCTTTACGTGGACTACGTGACAACCTTTAACTTTTGTGTAGTGCCACCGCTGGATACGTGCGAGCTGATAGACTGACAATCCTTTTTTTCTCTCTCTCTCTTTCTCTTCTCTTTCCCCTCTCTTTCATCTTTATGTCCCCTTCCCATTCCCCAAGCGTAGGGTAGCAAACCTGGCGTATGCCTGGTTAACCTCCCTGCCTTCTCTCTTGTTGTTCATCCCCCCCCCCCCCAGAGTTTACTTAGGGGGTCTTGATATTTGTACAAAGCGAGGATTGAGGTGATGCCAAACAGCAGATTGCTGTACTATTGTTTTTAAATACGATAATGAGGAGCCCCTTAACTTGTGACCATAGGTTGCGACATTCTGATTAATGTTTTGTCATCGCACTCTCCAACATCTATTTGGTCTTCATAGTCCTCTGAACCACCGTGACTTTGAATAGCAAAAGTTTTGAAGAAACTATACTTGGTTAGACATTGGTCCGACGTAATAGAGCCGTAGTATAGTGCTAGGCAGCTGACTTTCAGGTCGTGGGTTTGGTCTCCGCCATGGCCATCGCGTTTCGATGCAGGAGAAATCGTAGAGCCCCGTGTACTGCACAATGTCAATGCACATCAAAGAACACCAAATAGTCGAAATTTCGGGAGGGCTCCACTGTGGCGTCTTTTATAATCATGCCGTGTTTCAAAAGCAAATCATTTCTTATCGAACCGTCGGTGCCTTTAAGCGTATCTGTGTATCTATCTATCTAGCCGCTTACGTCTCCATGCTTTCGTGGTCACCCCATTAACTTGGCGAGAACCATAATTAGCATTGAAGGGTAAGATGGTTTGGCGATAGTTACGCGCTGGTTAAAACATGACGAACGTCGCAATCTTGACGCGTACGTCATCAAACATTTCACACCAGACAGTGGCGTATACCCATGGGCGGGAACGTGCCGCTGGTATAAGGGGTGACTGAAACTTAGTATCTACATAGCAACGATGAGAACACACATGAGCTACTTGAACGTGTGAGCGTTAAGCAATACCCTACATCTGTAGCGTCGACCCAACTAAGGCATAGAATAAATGTCAGTGTGAAGAAAAACCTGATATAGGCAGCGTTGATCCCACGACGAATGCAAATAATAAATTTTAGGGTCCCAGCAGGAAATGAACTCAAGCATTCTGCGTGAGAGTGAACCTTTCTACCAGAGAGCTGCGCCAAGTCTCGTAGTTACTTTTCCAATAGACGCTAATCTTCATGAAACGTCAATTGTGGTTGCAGTACTGACTAAGCAATATCTTAAACATTACGTATGTACTCACTTGATACAATCATGACGTCGGGTTAAAGTCAATTGTGGCGAGGTGCCATGCGCTGAAGTTGATTTATGTAGCTGTGCCCAGGGCCAGCATCTTCGCAAGCATCAGCGCTTCATATCAGTTTCTGGTGTGGTAATACGCATATTCCAGTTGACATCGTTGCGCAAGTGCAAACAACTGGTTATGGAGCATCTGTAACTCTTCAACATATGTCTATTAATTCAACATTTATACATATCTTTAGCGTCATTTCATGACATGTCCCTCAATAAAAAGTAATTGCAGCATAATAACTTCCCTCCGCATGCTTCGCATAACGTAGATTTCCTGGTACCTGGGTTCTGCCGATTATTCTAGGCGAGACACCACAGATACTATAAATACTTGGCTGGAAATGGACACTTCGACTTGTCTCTTTATTTATGTTATTTGGTTATATCGTAACTCAGTGTCTTTTCTCCAATGTTATAGCATGTAGCATATCTTAACATCTCATATTGACGTCTTCAAAGATTGTTCAAATTTTGTTGCGTCACATTTGCACTTTATTGTCGTAAGGATTTCAAGTGTTATATTTTCACATTTACATAAAGCGTGGTTTTAGACAAATCCTTAAAAGTAGGTATGTAGGAATTGGCGACTGTTTCTTTATGGCGTAGCAAATTTCCTTAAGATGCAGTTTTCGGAGTGTATTGTACGTTCGGTAGAAGGGATGTGTTGGGTATTATTGCGGGCTTGTTCCGTGGTGAGCGTTATCATGAGTTCAACAATTATAACTTGTCGTGAACAGGATGCATATGAACATCGGAACATTCCGATGGCACCCTTAGTGATGTGCATGTTTGTTAGTACGTTATAATTCCTTTGTTGAACCAGTTTTATAAATCGTAAATGAAAAAAAAAAATTGCCTATCGAAACTTTCGAGCATTTAGGCCGGCAAAGCATTGCTGGTGCACACTGCAACACGTCGCCCGATAATTTCAATCTCAATATTTACGACTTCCATGATATTATAGAGCGAGTTCAACTCCACCCGGTCCGAACCTAGAAAACGTGTTTCACATCAGCAATCACCTCCCCTAAACTTCTTCCCCTTCCTCAGCCCGCATGCGTTTTCATAGTAACGGACATGCTTAGTGCCGGTTCATTTGCCGGAGCACTTGAAGAGGCAAGGCTGTCGTGTGCTGTCGGCTGCTCACGCCATGGATAGGCGTAATGCTTCATGAGTATCATACGGAACGCGCTTTTGCGCCAAGGAAAAGTCATTACCTCTTGTTCATTTAGTGCTCTAATGACGATCCCATATCATGGATGAGCAACAGAAAAGTCAAAGCTTTGCCACATAAGTGAAGCAATGAACGAGATAGCAATAAATTGGAAGGTCATGCGCAGACTGGTAAGCA